AATGTACGCAAATATCATTTATTACAATTGATATACTTTTTATTCTCATTCGTCTACATCTGCTGTGAATGTTCAAACATTTACATATATGACACTCGCATTCCTGTTTATCTATACTTTTGTATTTGTGTTTTTGTGCTGACTTCCTGTCTATATATGCGGAATTAAAGATGATTTTGCGTTATTTTGCTTTGTTTCGTGATTTTTCTGTATCAGTTTTTAAATATTGACATGAGAATGACGTAGATTATTAAAGGTATAGCTGCAAAATAATCTGTTGAAAAGCTTTTATCCTAGTTTTTACAGTTATAAATCTAATTCCACAATTTCGTTATTTTTTGTGTGTAATGCTCTAAGTTGTGGGCATGGTTAACTTACCTTTGAGCTAATGATTGCCAGTCCTGGACAGCTCAAGTCGGTTAATCGATCTATAATCCGAATCTAAAGTGAATGTGGCATGGAGCCACATTTAAATTGAATCCAGCTCCCTGCCAGAGCAATGCTGGTTTCAGATTTCTAAACGATTAACGGATATTATGTATTATGGTGGTAAGGATGGTGGGGGTCGTATCTATTGGACCATAAGCCACTAGGATCTCTAAGCTCTCTTAAAAGCTCAAGCTAAGAATTGACATTCAATTAAACTCAAAATCAATCCTTAGTTCAACATTAGAGGACCTCGTGAGTATAGTTTGATGACTAGTTCAGAGAGAATCTCAGTTTTCATGATTCAGTCCACAGATTCACTTTCTATCAAAACCAGGCTTACATACAAGAAGCACCTTTATTTCAAGAATCATATCCAATATCCTTTTCAAATACACGCAATGTTTAAACAGTCATGCAAACTCTTCCTCCCAAAACTTGCTTAGCTGATAAAATTCCTTTAAAAAGAGATCGAAAAAGCATTTCTTCCCAACTCCATGTTCTGTTAAGCTTTACATAATTTATGAAAGCTGAACACATGTACCATAGGATTCATAAATATGCAAATAAGTACACAAATGAAATCAGGAATGGAAAATCGACGAAAAAAAAAGGGAATTTATGAATGTGAGTTGACTGTAAAAAGGGAAGACAAGCCACAACAAATAAGCAAGCTTTAAGGTATTTTGAGGATTATATTGATTTATGCTTTGAATTAAAGCCACAGTGTTTTTTTTTGCATGTCTTTTTCCGTCCGTAACATGAAAAAACGTCATGAATATTGTGTTTTTTTGTGAAAGGAAATGCCTATGGGGAGTGTTTGGAAGTGATGTCCATTAGAAAAGACGATTTTTGATCATTTCGAATGTCAATAAGCAGCAGGCGTCCTTCCTTATTCTTAAAGGACCGTCAAGTAGGTTCTTTGACCCTGATCATGCCCCAACTCAGACATCACATCCAAACAACTCCCAAATATTGTTATGTGTATAGTTTTTTAAACCTGAAAAAAAAATCTACGATTATGATCCGACAATACCTTTTTTTTTTTTGTTGGTAGTCAAACATGGGAGTGAATATAAATTTATGGATTCGTTGAATGGTTTCATGAGCAAATAAGTACACAGACTATGCTGAGTAATAAATAAAAATCAGAAATCACACAAACAAGCATTATGGCAGGATTAAGAATGAAATGTCATTGTAAGCGAGTTGTTGGGTTATGAATTGGATTAGGGAGATTGTTTGATTGTGGAAGGGTAGTCAGGGGGTTGTAGTTGACCGGTAAAACGCAAAACTTATTGAAATCATATCTTGTAACCTTAAAACCAGCTTTCTAAATCATAAAATGCTTTAAATTACAATAAACTTTTATAAAGCTAAAAACTTACTATTTTAGACCTCCTTCTCTCCAAGTCACCCGTCAAATCAAAATCCCAAAATCTCAGTCATTGCTCATTGAACATGAAAAATAACATCAAAGCTAGCAACTAAGAAGAACATAAACCTCATTTTGTCAGATATTTGCTAATGTTGATGGAATCCACGACAAACATATCATTGGATTTAATATAAATCCATACAAACATGAACTGGAAGTATAGTCTCAAATCAAAACTAACCACCAATAAAATCAAAACCTGTGCCTATTCAGATCACTTAAGATCCAAAGGTGCGCTAGGGCGATTCACAGCTAATGAGAGTTTAAAGAATGAGGATGCGCCAAACCACTGCATTCAAACCTAGACCTACAATTTATAGTGGGATTCGAACCACTCCTTTCATGACATTTCTAGGTACCGAAGTACTAAACTATTTCGCCAATCTGCCACTTCAGCACACAAAAACCCTTTGGGGCCGAACACTTATTAAGTTACGCAAAAAAACGACTTTTTTCACCCCCCCACCCCCCTCCCTCTTTGTTACAATATGTTACAACTCACAATCCCCTCTGAACGTTCATAATTTATTTTATCATTAAAAAGGTAGAAAAAATTAATTTAATGTTTTTGGTATGAATTTGTAAACAAATTTTTTTCATGAACTTTTTTTAAAAGACAGATGACAGTTAGAACGTTACATACTTCTTGTACCCCCCCCCCCCCCCTATGTTACCTTTTGTTACAATTTTTGAACCCCCCCCCCCCCCCTAAAATACGAACGTAATAAGTGAACGGCCCCTTTCGTGTTCCTTAAATTCTAGATCATCATCCAAACTTAGTAAACTTGACATATCATGTAGTCACAACACAATAGAATGAATTGAATGATGTGATTTAACAAGACTGACTTCTTTTTCTTCCTCCTCTTTTTTTATGATATCAAAAAAAAAAAAGTCCTAAAAATGAAGGTTTCGTATAATATTTTTAAAGGAACCTTTTTTTGTTCATAACAGTCAGTAAGTCTCTTGTTCTTTCCTTTCTTGTGTGTGCGACTGAACAATGGATATACGTCTACATAAAAAGAAATAAGAAACTTTTTTTTTCCATTTGAATGGAAACAATTTATAATCTCAAGTGAGCAGATATCTTCGTAAAAAAAAAGGCATTGAGTTTATCGAATGTAGTAAGAAGAAGGAAGAAAAAAATGTGCTTATGATAAATCAAGAGGTCTATTTCCGTCTTATGTTTTACATATTTTTTGACTACATCTTTTATGACTCACGAGGAGATGACTGATATGTTATTTGACATTGATAGATACTCTTTCATAACTAAATTAATTCACCAGTTTATGATATATCATTGCGAGTGGCATATGAATGCTGAATATCAATTTATTCTCATGATATGATATATAAAAACGGATTTAACAAATATTTTGCTTCCTTTATTGTTAATCTGATTTGATACGGTTATCAATTTTAATATACTTTTTATTTCGAGGGGTGAGTGTGTGGGTAGTTAAATGTTTTGGCATGGCTTACGATATTTATGAGTTATTTTTGATATTTACTGATGTTTTTCTGAAGTTGGATGATCTTTAATCGAATGAAAATGTGACTGGGGGAGGATTTGGATCGAAGTATCTCCGGCTTATCACTTCAATTGGGAACATATCGCATCTGTTACTTCATTTATGTGACAGAGAGGTCTAAGTGGTCTGTGATTCTTTTGTTTCAGATGTCATTCATGTCACTTTGCCTTATTCCGAATAGCACAAATTGGTTAATCGAATAGCAATCCTGCGCGTGATTCTGGCATGGAGCTGGGCTCAAACCTAATCAAGTGTCATGCCAGACTTACGCCAGCTTGATACCGAATTCCTATTCAATCCATAATAAATAAAAGTTCTTCAAAATTAATTCATCTCCATTCAAATTCCATTAAACATCTTTAAACACAGGAGAAATTCCAATAAATTTCAATCTGCTACATCCAATCCAAATGGTTACATCTTCAATCGCAAACACACAAAGTCAATCCAATACAATTTTTTCATCAATTCTTTTCAATTGATTATCATTCACCACATTTCACAACATTTCAATCCTCCCGCATCACTGACTTTCCTCAAAGATTTACATTAAATATGACTTTTAGCATATGATATATTCTCACACACGAGTAAATACATAAATCGATAAAACAATCATATCATAGATTGCAGGAGGGCGAAAAGAAAAATTGATTGATGTTTATGTTACTTTATCGATTATTTTCGCTGACGGGCATGAATGATTGCAATTGGTTTAGCTCGTGTATCATGAATGAATATGATTCTGTTTGACTTGTGATTAAATGATGTAATAAATTCGCTACATACTTGGAATGATGGTTATTAAAACATTTTATGCTTGAGGCTGATCATAAATGATGTCAAGGGCAAAGTTGGCAAGCCTATTCTTAGAGTTTTTGGAGGTCATCTTTGGGAGGCTTGTCAACCCTGGTCAAGGGGTGATTTCTAGAGCAACATGGGGTGTTAATTTCCTGGAATTGATAATCTTTATGCAATGTACTCTAGTGTTGATATGAAAATTGACTCTGATTAAAGTAGGGAATCTCAGGTAGCCTTAGAAACTAGACTCAGATTTTTGATGGACACTTCTCTCATCTTTATAGCTGAAAATAATTTTTTGTCATTTAGGAAAAAAATACGAGCAGTCGATCATGGTCCTAGAAGTCATATGGCAACCATATAACTCACAAGTGGTAGATTATGGCTTTTATAGCCATTTAAGCATACTTTCTTCCTTAATTATTTCGCTGGTGATACAGATCAATTGTGATCCATGACCTTCCTTAGTCGTCACCTAAAACTAGCTCTATTGCTGGCTAAAGTCTGTCAATTGCCAACTCCAAATTTGACGCTATCATATAAGCCCGATGACTGATTTAAACTAGCTTGATGTCGGATTTCTAATCTATTAACCGACTTGTGCCATTCGGGAAGCATAAAGGAGACACATTGCCTCAACTTCTAGCTTGAGACAGATTCAATAAATTAAAATTTCGCTTGACATTATTTGCAAACGGTCCCCAGCTGTTATCTTATCAATTTTAATGTGTCTTAAGAGTGGCTAGCCGGCTTTTGTCTATCAACACAAACACAACTTTGATAATCATTAAAAAGCATTTCAAAATACCCAACACAATTTTTATTACATTCTCCTCTTATCACTTCACACAAACTGCTTAACACAATTTAGTCATGACAAAAAAAAAATATATTTTTTTTAATGCAATCCTTTAATTCCTTCTGGGAATTTTCCTGAGAAGAATTGTAAGAGCATTTCAACTCCCTTTTGATTGACTTCCTCATACTCTGGCATGATGTCTTCACAACGTTTTAGCCACGCCTGTAATCTTGGATATTTGTCAAGCGACACTCCAAAACCCTTTTGAGAATGTTCATGTAATTAAATGAAAATGGGAAAGAAAGAAATTGCAAAATTGGAATTAATAGGTTATTAAATGAGAAAGGTGGGATTGGGGTTGGGGATATGTTCACACCGTGGGAGATTAGTCATGCCTATAGCTAAATTTCCCTCCAAATCTGCCCAATGAACTCTAAAATGGAGAATTCATTGAGTATCTATGAACTAAGTCACCCCAAATATGAAGCCAAAATTAATCAGTAAACCTTAAGGTGTGAACATACTAAATTGCCAATTGATATCAAATGCAGCGAAAAATTCCATTTAATTAGATGAAATTAAGAAAAGCTAGTTAAATATTATAAAAGCTCATACTCACAACTAACGTTGAAATTGAAGCGACGAAAGCAAAATCTGCAGCAGTTAAAATCTCACCAGCTATCCATTCATTTCCATTAGGGAAGTAATTTTCGTCGATAATAAAAAGAATTTCGTGGAGCTCTTTCACTTTTTCCGGATCGACATCCTCGCGTTCGCCACTAAATAATGGTGACTGTGAGGATATATAAAAGAGAATGTGTCACTCTAGGCGAGCATAAAAATTGAAGGAAATGAAAATGGTGTTCGTGAAATAAGTCATGAGGTCGATCAGGGAGTGGGAAGCTTTTGGGAACTTGGATTAGCTTTAGAGGTCAGTTCTAATTCCGCCCGAACTCAAAATCCAACAAAACTAATCCAAAACCTTCTTAAAATCAGTTCAAAATGCAATTAAAATCCAGGCAAGCTTTATGATGATCGACCATTCAAACCAAGTCCTTCAAAAAATAAATGCCCACCCCCTGACTTCAATTAACAGCTAACGACACACCATGAGACATTTTCATACATTTTACACATAATTTACCACAATCTGAGTTGTTTTATTAGTCAGTCCACCTAGCTCATAATGAAGTCTCTGATTCACGATTGCCTTCTCTTTGGGTGACGTCGGTACGAGTTCCGGTGCTTTTGACTCAATCAAATATGAAAGAATGGCTCTCGATTCCCACAAAATGAAACCGTTGTCATCGATGGTTGGAACACTATGTTGTGGATTTATTGCCAAAAATTCCGGTGTAAGTTGCTCTTTTTTCTCTTGCAAGTCCATATACTTGACGTCAACATTGAGCTTTAGATAGCGAGCTAATAACAAAACGGATCTACAGTATGGACTGACTGGTGAATAATAAAGCACAATTGGAGCCATTTTTATGGATGATTTTTACTCGTCACTACACAAATTCCAACTGAATTAATCAAGTTACTTCATCGCAATTGTATCAGAATCATTAAAAAATCATTGACATTATCGCATGTGTACGATAAGATAAATGTGTGCCTGTATATGTGAGCAGTTCAATGAGATAGCTTTAAACTTTTTTTTGATAATAACAACAACAAAAAGTTTGTCTAATCTTGAAGTTATTTTGTGGTCGCATGATAAACCAAAGACAGTGGTAAACAGTAGTCAGTCATAATTTAGCCGCAATTATGGGTAAACCAAATTTCTATTTCACACCCGATTCACCACCGTGTCAAGTAATTTTATATGGCTAGTTATTATCAATCAAATTAATTTATTGTCTAATAATTTATAATATAGGCAGTAACATTGGTGATTAAACAACTAAAATTGGATGTTACTGTAAGTTCAATAACTCACTATTAATTCTCATGTACGCCTTACTATCTCCAAATAATAATCGACAGTAATAATTTAATGTTCTTGTGATAATGTTTATGATGGGTAGATAGATGTGCATACATATGTGGATTTTTGTGCAAGTGGGTGGAATGTGGGGTCATTTGTTAATGATGTCTACTCATAAATGTGAAATTTAGAAACATCGATTCTTCAGGGACGGCATTATAGGGTTTTAAACAAGTGGAATGCAGTTAAATATGCATTTTTAATGAATCGAGGATCATTGGTAGCAGGACAGGGGTTAAGATTCGTATATTATTGAAAATTCGCTTGTCCTCAGGAACTGTAAGCTTGCTATACCAATAAAGAGGGCCCTAGCATGTTTGCTACCTTAAACCATGCACATAAAATATTTTGAAGCTGCATCGTAGATTAAACTTCTTACATGCAGTTCTGCAACCTCATCCATACCCAAAATATAAAACATCATAAGCATACAACCCCACCATCTCATTCCTATCACTCTGCATATTCCTATCTAATTTAATTTCCTGCAACCACTTCAAATTGACAAAAATTATCTGAAAATCTGATAAAATTTCATTTCATTTCAGTACAGACCAATCGATTTGGAAAAGAATGAGCATCTAACACCTGAATTTTTGGCATTAAATCCATTGCATCAGGTTAGTTTCATTTCCTTTTAAAGAATTTTTCTATTGAACTCCGAAAAATATATCTTCACGTGCAGGTTCCAACATTGGACGACAAAGGATTCATTATTGGAGATTCACATGCAATCATACAATATCTAGCGACGGGTAGCAATTTGACATCACTCGATCCACATGTTCTTGCACGAATCAATCAGGCGATGTATTTTGACACTGAACTTTTCAGAGTCATGGGTGAGATTGGCGTAAGTATTTGAATGTGAAATGCTGGAATTTTTGCATCTGTGGGTTGTCGGATGTAGATGCATTGGAGCTTAAAATTTATATTTGATTGAGAATTTTCAGGAGTGGTTCGAAGTTAGCAATTGAAATATTGCAATTTTATTTTTCAAAATCTTTATGGGGTGCTGCATAAATGATGATTTCTGCAAAACCCTCCTCGTTCTAGGCTACGTTCTCAATAGTGTCAAATTAAGCTCCTTGTTCTTCATACCTCTTAGCCAAACACCTTCTGCCCGTCTCCCGATAAATACCAAACTTCATAAGGGACTATTCACTCATGACGTCCAAAATTAACGGTCATTATTCAAAAAGAAAAAAATGATTTTCCAGGAATTTCCATTGTTCTTTTCTTTTTGCCCCCCCCCCCCTCCCCTCGGACGTAATAAGTGAACGGCCCCTAAGCACGTGACCCCTTCATCCAACATAACATTAATTAACATTCTTGAACCTTCTCCACCCACAGTACTCATTATACTTTGAAACAAGAACCGAGCCATCTCAAAAGGCAGTTGCCATTCTGTATGAAAAATTGGGTGCACTTGAGCAATACCTACTACGTCGTAATTGGGTAGCAGGTGAATTTTTGACGATTGCAGATTTTTCGATATTTGCAACATTTTCAGCAATTTATGTAAGTCAATGATTCATTTATGCTGCTTAATGGACTTTAATGTATCTTTTTTTTTTCACTTAAAGAATTGTCCAATTGACCTTAGTAAATTCGAGTCAATATTAAAGTGGTATGAAAAGTGTAAGAAGATTTTTATTGGATATCAGAGCATCAAAGAAGATTCCAAGAATGCTCTCGGAAACTTCCTGAAATCGAAAGGAATTAAGTTGGAATTGAAGACGTTGGATGCTTAGAAAGCTCAAACAACACGCCATCAGCAATAATATCGGAAATAAATGAATGCAAAAAGCTCACAAGCACAGGAAGTAAAAAGGTTCTTTTTATATATTTTTATATGTATGTCAAAAGCAAGCAGCAGTCTCACCACACTTGTGACTCTGAAACAACAAAATAAAGTACTTGAAATTGTTTTTTTTTGTGATGAAATAAAAGTCAGTACGTAGTTTTCTTTTTCACTTCCATCAACATCAACAATTTATGTCATTAATATACTCGTGTAAGTTGCTTATTGTATGCTTCAATGAGTTAAGACTGAGAAAACTTTTTTTTTATTGATGAAGCATGTAGGAACATTTAATACGAAAACGGAAACATTTTCTCTTTACTAGGGTATTGCTTTGTGCTTAGTGAGATGATTTTTGAGTTTGAAGTTTTTTCAAAAAGAAATTTTAAGAGCTTTTCTATAAAAAATTTGAAAGCATATCTATAAAAAGTTTTGAAAGCTTTCATATAAAAAGTTTTGAAAGCTTTCCTATAAAAAGTTTTGAAAGCTTTCCTATAAAAAGTTTTGAAAGCTTTCAAATAAAAAAGTTTTGAAAGCTTTCCTATAAAAAGTTTTGAAAGTTTTCCTATAAAAGTTTCGAAAACTTACATATATGAAGGTTTGTAATCTTTCATATAAAAAGTTTTGAAAGCTTTCCTATAAAAATTCTTGAAAGCTTACATATATGAAGGTTTGTAATCTTTCATATGAAAAGTTTTGAAAGCTTTCCAATAAAAAAGTTTTGAAAGCTTTCCTATAAAAAGTTTGAAAGTTTTCCTATAAAAAGTTTTGGAAGCTTTCCTATAAAAGTTTTAAAAGCTTTCCTATAAAAAGTTTTGAAAGCTTTCCTATAAAAGTTTCGAAAACGTACATATATGAAGGTTTGTAATCTTTCATATAAAAAGCTTTGAAAGCTTTCCTATTAAAAGTTTTGAAAGCTTTCTTATAAAAAGTTTTAAAAGCTTACATATGAAAATGTTTTGAAAGCTTTCCTTTAAAATTTGAAAACTTTCCTCAATCACACGATATTTTACCCAATTTCTTCTTCCACTCAAAAGCAACAACCATCATCACACGTATGCAGTAAACTTTATTTTGTTAAAAATCAACATTCAATGAAAGTCAATATACACATTGAAAAGAAAATTTCAAGCGAATAACAAGTCAATCTACATGTTGTCGATGAATGAGAAAGATTTTTGTCTCTTAAAGCGAAATAATTTTATCGTAAAAGTTTTCTTCTTTTTTGGTTTCTCTTCCTCTTTTTTTTTCCAATCGCTGAAACTGCCATTTTTTCATTGCCGAGGCAAAAAGTAAAGTTTCTTCTTTTAACTTTCACGGATTAATGTGGTTCGTGCAAGATGTGGACTGGTATGAGAGTGATTGAGAAAAGTTGAGCTAATGCTAAGCAGAATTGACTAAAACTGAGCAAAACTGAGCAATTCTGAGCAAAATTGAGCAATTCTGAGCAAAACTGAGCAACGAATTTACCAAACTTAGCAAAACGGAACAGCAGCTGATTCAAATTGAGCTAAATTGAGCAAAAATGAGCAAAGTGGGAAAAAATGAGCAAAAATTCAGCAGAACTGAGCATAATTGAGCAATCTGAGCAAGTTTTGATCAGAATTATCTTAAAAATGAACTCCAGACTACAAATAAAAATCTTCACATTTTCCATACCTCGACCTTCATCCCCAGATGAATGTTCCATACGACATCAAAATTAGAAGAGTTTCAAGTCTTTTACGGTTCTGTTTTATGGTGTTCTCTGTGATAATATGAAGTAATATAATAAATATTAATATGAGAAAAAAAGACGTGAATTCCTCAATTTTCTTAGCTTTTTATTCAATTTAAATTCACCGATAATAAGCAAAATCACTTAATCTATGTGCGTACAATATTGTATGGGCATTTTGGGGGGTAGAACGACTCAAATTTCACAAATGATATAATAAACACAAAAATATTACAACACTCAACTTACAATGTTAAGGCAGGCATTTCATATATTGACTTTTGTGCTGATGAATGGCTTGATAAACTCGTAAAATTTTATACACAGATTCGGGTTGAAGGTCCACATGACATTACATAACATGCCACTGAAATATCCGAAAGACATTTTCTTAAGGCCAAAAATTTTTATAGGAATTTCTCAGCAGGGTTGGGAAGGTTTACCAAGTGACAAATTTATTTTCATTTGCATTATCGTCTTTGGAAAGTCGAAACCACAAAAACAGACAGCATAACACAGAAAGAGATTTTCCGATTTTTACGACAATATAGCCATAAAAATGACTCGCAAATGTAGATCCAGATTTACAGAATATGTATTTGTATGTATCAGCATAAGCACCATCATGTGAAATTTATGTCTTTAACAAATTACTTGGCATAGATCTATGCGCTTTGAAAATGGATATTAATCTATCGATCTATCGACACCAATATCCCTCCTTTACATCGTGGACACATTTGCTTAATAAAAACGTTATGGCTTCCTCAATACTTTTTTATGGCGATAACGCACATACATAGATAGATGCTGATAGATTTAAGTATGTTGGATGGTGGGTGAACGAGTGGATTGGTGACCCTTGTGAGGATTTTTGGAAGGGAATTGAAAACATTGCTGAATGACTAGATTGGCTGTTTGGTTGATCAGTTATAGCAAATCTATTGTCTAAAAAGTTGTGGTACCTTCCTAGTAACGAACAAACTTTAAAGATAAAATAGACGCTTTACAGTCATATTAATTGAGTAAAATATAGAATAGTTGTGTCCAGGGCTCTTAAAGCTTAAAAACTATAAGAATCAGGCTCTACACCAGCTTTAAGTTTCCTGTGTTGCATCATTAGTGCTGGTGGTACAGATCAAGTGTGATCCATTTTGAGTCGTCCCCTAAAACTAGATCTTTCGCTGGCTGCTGTCTGTAAATTGCCGATTTCAAATGCAACACTGTCCACTCTCTTCAAAAATAAAATAAAATTAGCATATTCTGGGAATCCGAGACCCTTCTTAAGACCTTGGACACTTAAGTTATATTGACAATGGTCATTGAATTGTGTCTAAGTATAAAGCATCTAATTATAAATCTAGGAAGTCGCAGATGAATGCACTTTCAAGTCAAAATGTTAAATTCTGTTGAATTTACCCCCACAAATCCATCCTAAGGACTTTTCTAATTTTTCTCCATCAATATATATTGTATGTGTTTGATTGACACAAAAATTCGCTGTATATGCTCACTACCATGGTGATGGCTATAAAAAAAGAGAAAAAGCAAATTCCAATTTCATGGAGTATTGAATATTTATGTTCGAGATTTATTTTTTTTCGCCGACAAAGAAGAAGCAATAAATACACATTTATATACCTTATATAGACATGGATGTAACGACATGAGCCATATTTACATGAGCTAAAGGTAAGAAGAAAACATATTGTAGACATTTAGGGTGATTTTGTTCTTGTTATTTGATGTGCTTATTATCTATGCTTTGTTTAAAAATAAGACTGTTTTCAATACTTTTTTTTGGTGACATGCACGTCACCTGACTCATCACGTTGTAAGAATTTTTTTGGAGAATTTCGCGTGCCTTGCATTTTAAGCTCCTTTATCGTTAGATGACTTTTTTGTGATGTTTGGAATGTTGGTATTGTGGATTAAGGAAGGGGGGGTCAAATCAATCTAGAATTTTTCAATGACGTTGATCTGCACCCTGTTTTATTGTTGCTTGGCTACAGCAACGATTCAAGCTACTCCCATAATTTCTAGTTAAGATCTTTCAGCTTATAAAACTCACAATTTTGAAATAAAACTCCAAAAATTTATCCTTGACATCTCAATCAATCCAATCCTTCAAAATCACCATAAATTATGCGCCATTCCAACAAGCCACATCTACAGATTTTCAATTTCATTTTATTCTATGCAATAAACTGATGGATCATGTATGCAACATAATCTATGGGATTTCATCATGAATCTTTATGTATTACCGTATCTCTAAAGATTATTCCGACAAGTAATCAACTTCTGTCTCCCAATCATCTCCAGAAAGCCATACATTTTTTTTAAATAAGTAACACAAAAAATATCAAATTTCCTAATTTTGCTTCCAGTTTTTATGACTCATCAAGCAACAGATTTTTGCATGATTGAAAAATTTATTAGGCAAATTATGAATGGAAATATGGAGAAGCAGGAAGACATGAAGTTAAATATTGAATATTCTTCGATTCAAGGAAGGGTTTAGATATATTTAGATATAAAGCACCTCCATGCCCCCTTCTTTTGTCTCTTTATCCTATTCATCCTTCTTCGTTGGCTTCCTTTTCTTCAACTTCTCAATTATTATGCATGTGATTGGTAAAAATGAAATGACATTTATCCATAAGGCATAAGGCTTCGCATCATAAAATAAACATTCACATTTATGTATGTACATGTACTGTACGGTAAGACATTTTGCAAAAAAAAAAATGAAGTCATTTTTAACCATTCTCATTGAGACGTGAAATGAGAATTTCATCGAATGTATTCAATACGTAAAATATAATCCTAACATAAGCACAGACACATATTATGTGGATTTTATACTGAAGTCATTGTGGAACAAAAAAAAATTTAAAGAGCTTCTCTCGTGAATCTCTACATGATTTTCAATTTCAGACACGCTGTGATGCTTATGCACACTTCACTATTGCGTGTGGGTAGATTGGACACTTTGTGGTGCTTTTTTTTTTAACACACACTTGATGGAACAAGAGTTTTATTTCAGGCATCATTAATGGTTGTGCAAGTTGCGCTGATAACATTGAACTGTCAACAGTTGTCACAACATGAAAATGGAATATTTTATGAACTTTCTTGCGTGGGTGGACTTAATGGACTTACTTTTATTTGACTTTAAGATTGAATGTAATGATTCTTTTGGTCTTTTGAAGTTCTATAACGTAAGTGGACTCGATTCCGAGTCTCTTGGATTATTTTAGACACTAAAAGTAGCTAAGCTGAGTGGCACATCCAGAAAAATTATCCTGCACCAAAATAACCCCTTAAAAATCACAAAACTTTAAAGTATCTAAAAATCCCTAGCAACAAATTTTAAAACTCCTTAATTAACTTCCTATCCATGATCAAAACATTCATATCCTTAATATTTTTTAATCTAAACAAACCTTAAATCCGATGCCATAACATGGCACAGCTATTATATTCCTAGTGTTCCAATTTCACATGTTAATGTCTTAACATCAAAACAATTCTCATTTTACATTCACTCCTGTAACGCATATCATATTAAGAAGTACATACATTTTTACATTCATTCCTCTTTTTTTGCCGTTTCCTATCTATTATATCCCATTCATTCCATACATTTTTTGAATCTAATTTTCCACTCAACAGCAACATCATGTTCCATACTTGAACTTGAGAATGTGAATTGGATAATATGAAGAAATAGAATGTTCAAAAATCACGTATCATCCATCTTTTAAGCTTCATGTGCATTGTGTATGCGAGAAATGTTTGCAAATATTCCTATTATCAGCTTTATAACCACACAGCATTGCTTTGAAATTTGCATACTTTGCGTTTTCTATTTGTTGAATATTTTTTTTGCTCTCATTTCAAAGTCTTGTTGAACTTTAGACAGCTCTTGGATGATTTGTGCTGGCATGAAATAAATTTTTCAAGTTATTTTCTCGTCAAAAAGTTCTTCAGTTCATGCTGCACATCCAGGTATGTTGTATTAAGTTTTCAGAGCACTTTTACAAAGCAAAAAGCTGTAAATGTCCACAATTGGCTCGTTTCAATGTCTACAGTAAGTGCATCCTTCTAATTTTGTTCATCTGTCTTTCTGTAGAACCCTTGGTTTTCTATTTGTCTGTCCATCAGGCTCCTAGACTGTCCTCAGAACAGGCATCTCAGATTTTAAACATCTTAAAACTTCTTGAATCTGCCTGTGCATAAAATCCGTCCAACAGCTCAAAATTCATCATAAAAAATTGCCAAGACTATAAAGAACTACTTCCTACATTCCCAATTTTTTTGAATTAATAACAAAACTTTTCCTTACTTCCGATTCATTTATTTCGTCGTTTGTCTTGCACAGTGCCAGCGTGTAAGTTTTAAATCAACAACGAACATTTATTAATGACTGACATTTTGAGCATTATCATTACATCATTTTCTTGTTCGCTGTTTTTTGTGCCTGCCTTGCTATTCTCAGTTTCTCGGTTTCTTTTTTCGATTTGTCATTCTTAAGTATAAACCATGGGCGGTGAATTCGTGCAGTTGTAGTAATATAAAAATTGTATCATCATCGTGCAGTAATTTTTTTGCTTTGTTTTTGTGGTTTGGCCTGGATTGTAAGAAACTCTTTGAGTTGAAAAACTCTTGCTATGCCTCTATCCCATTAGATCAAGTCCAGAGACCAGTTGCTAGTGGTCTGGTTTTTGTAGCTTGATCTTTTTTGTGAGACACTATTTTAGTTGAAACGCACTTATGTCTCTATCCCATTAGTTCAAGCTCATAGACCAGTTGATAAAGTGACCTAAAATCACCTACCATAGAATAAGATAGAGTAAGTCGTTATAAGTCGTTTCCAAGAGCAGGGTTGCTTCAATAGTATAGACCAGGTGTGCCTCAAAGATTCCCAAGAGATTGATATTGGATGTAAGGTTTTGGTAAACTTATTTGAGAGGCACATGGCAAGAAAATGGCTGTCAAACTCTCATCCAGGATGGCATGAACGAGGCACCACGCTTGATTTTACCACATTTCCACGTTCATGCTATCCTGAACACCAGATTGACTATCATTTTCAAATCATATGCCTTTCGGGTAAACTTAGCATAGAATAATCAAAAAAAAAAAACCAAAAAGAATCAAAATAAACTTCTATAACATGTACTTTAATGTACACAACAGGAAGTGATAAGTCGAATAAATTTGTCTCCAAAAAAAAAACTATTAAGTGTCATGTTTAAACTTGTCGTTCGTCATAAAATGTCAGACTAATGTTTATTAATACAATCAAAAAACTTTCCAACCTGATCCAACAATGCATGTATATATAGTTAATGAAAGTCATCGCCCGTAGCTGCAAGACAAGCAAAGTGTTTATGTTTAAAAGCAATTTCGTCAGAAATTCTTCCCCTGACAGCATTTCCAACACAATATACTCTATGTTGGCACATTGCAGTGCAGTATTATTATGTAAATTGTTCACCATCAACTATGGCGGCTTTTAGGTTAGATAAAACTAATTACGAACCATAACACATAAAAAAGTTCATTTTCTCACTGTTAGCTGCTTTCTGTGTGTGCATGTATATGGTCATAGGAAAAATATTCATGAATGGATAATAATAATGCATATTCTAGCTTTTTAACCACGATAGATGCTGGTTTTAGGAGGGTTTAAGGCTGGATATGTGAATTTGTGTGGCTCGCTGTTTTGGTCATCTAGCTTAATTCTTGAAATTTTTAAGGGGAGGTGGTGACGGTTGACGAAGCAAACCTTTGTTGCATGATTTGATTTATCAAAAGGGGAGGTGAAGGTAGGTTTCTTGGAAAATTCTAAAGTATATGCTTTTAAGGCTGATTTTTTTTGGACGTGTATCGAGTAGCTATCCATTGGTTCTTTAAGCTCATTTTGTACCCCAAGATTGACCTCATATGTAGCTCTTGTATACCCAAAATAAACTGAGCAATCAGTTCCAGGTTAGTACACATCCAATTCACCTCTAATACCCCTCAACATGTACATTAATGCCTCCATATCCAAAATTTTAAACCTATACCAAAATTACCTTCATTTTTCCAGGTCGCTTGCCTGTGACATATTAGACAAACTCAAAAAAAGGTAGGAAATGCAAATGGCAATGCAGCTCTACGTCGTCGTTAGAAGAATTAAAATTTATAACACTTTCAACTGATTTTATGTGTAAACTACTGACTGGCATGTCTGAATAAAAATGTTAGAAGGCATAAAGGCAAGAAAAAAATTGCAAAAAAAAATTAAATTAAGCTCGTTGCTTTTTTTTTTCATAACTTTTCACTTAGTTAATGCAACATACTGATGGTTGAATTTATGGAGACTCCAGGTATTAAATCGCATAATATGATTCACACAAAAAAAAATTGTGAAAGCAGCATAAATCCTATGGCTGTTGGCATTTTTTCTGCCTCTTCTGTTGTATTTTATAAAGCTTATTAATTTTCACAACACTTCAAAGAGCATAATTGATTTATGTTCCTGGCTGCTACTGCTGTGTGTATAAAAAGGTAATTCCTTGTTTTTTTGGAATACATCCAATGTCACACTTTGTTGCATTAAAAAATATATTCACGCCATAAAACTGGGTGCTCTCGTTCTCAAAATTACACATTTTAAGGTTGTGGATTTCAGATAAGGGGTGTGCAACTAAGCTAAGATTTTGTTGTTCGACCTAAGAGGAGTCTGGAGTGTATGGCTTAAGGATAAATTAGTGCTATAGCTTTGGCTCTTTCAGGATTAGACTTATGGAATCTTCATTAATGACTTATTGATTTTACTAGGTTTTACTCATGCTACAAACACGTCGAAACAACCGTTATTTTTTGGATTGAATTTCAAAAAACCGTTGAATTTTCATGAATATTTCTTGCAAAAACTGGCAAAAACAAGGTTTGGGCCAACGATTTTTATTCTAAGCTTCTTGTTAAGCTCAGTTTAGTTAAAATAACCCATGAAAATTAATTAAAAACTTAAATATTAATGCTGAAAATCCTAAAATTGACAGATTTTTAACGGTTTTAAAATATTCAAACGCTAGGTCGACTAAATTCGAACCTGTTTTCCACACTGAAATGTCCGTAGCATAGTTTTGCCCTTCGAATAGCTTCCTGTGTACCAATAAAGTAGCATAATCATAAACCACACCAATAAACTCACCTCTTGACTCCCTGCTCTTCAAAAATTTACGTTCAAAAACTACAAAATTCAAAATTCCAGCCCTTCATAAAATAATTTTGTGTGTAACTAAATTTCCACAACATTTTCACATCTAAATAAATGTAATTCAGTAATCCTCTCTACACAGAAAAAAAAGCTTTTTGTATATTTTCTGTGTTTTTTCATTCAAAATTTATTATTCTTTATAAAAAAATTTGTATTTTATTTTAAATATAATTTAATTTGCTCAAAATCTTATTTCACTTTGCCTGAGCTACTGTATATCTATAATAAAGTTTGCAAATGAAATTACTATCTGAGGGTGTTGGAATAAATTTTTTTTTTGTGAATTTGTAAGAGACACTTTGGTTAATGATTTTGTATATTTTTATGGGATTTTGGATTGTTTTGGGATGTTTTGATGAATTTAATTTATAGTATGTAGCAAATTGAATTTTTCTGAGTATATAGCTAGTTCGGAATGAACTCAGTAGATTTAATGCAATTTGATATCATGTTCGTGGTTGCTGTTTTTGGTAAATCGCTGGCTGGTCATAAAATTATGGCACAAAAATCAATTAATTGTTATTGAAACTGAAGAAACCTTCCCGATCGGCACATATTAAAGTTCATTAAAATGTTTGCTGACCGGCAACTGGGTTGATAGTATAATTAGAACCAAGCGGCATCCACTTGGCATTCAGTTGAAAATGGCTTTCACGTGGCTTTCGCTTATTTTTAATTATACTATTAATTCAGCCGCTGGGTGGCAAATATTTAATGTGTTATTATCTAAAATTCAGATGCGTCTAAAGCACTGCACTTCCGTCCTTTTTATCTAGTGTAAAATCTACAAATTTCTGAAAAACTACCTATTTTTGGGATTTTTAATATATATCCACAGCACACCTAAAGATGTCCAACGGCTTACCTGGACAACACTGTTCTAAAGCCTCAACTAATTTAAACATTTTAAATGCTCATTTTCAAAACAAATCAGCTTCAAAAAGAGATAAATCAAGAAATTCTTAACCTAAAAACCACAAAAAATAATAAAATTTCTAGCTCCACCCCTGCATTCACAAAATATTCTCAAAAACATCAAACCTTCATACCCCCAAACATAGCTTATCATCAATAAGAACTTATTCAAAACAGACTCCGCATGGCTTAGTTTGTTATCAGTCATACTACAGCTGTTTGCTAGAAATCACTCAACGAGAAGAATTTTAATTATTAATAGTAAAATTTACTCGAGAATTTGTGTTTAAAATGAGAAACTTACTTTTAGCTACAGTTTGTGCTTTGATGTTGGCTTTAGGTAATTAAGTATGTTGAGGATATAAAGTGGTTCTGAGAATTTTTTGGTGTAGATTTTGTATGGATTTGATTCGAGTAGTGAGATTTTTTGGTGACCTAGATTTGTGTGGCATTAAAGGAGTAGGTCACACCTTACTATTGACTATTTAGACTCTAATTGAGCTGAATCCCCTGTGGTGGTGTGCTTTTGACGTCCTACCAACAACATATCGCCCCATATTATGTGCCCCTCAGTTTCATATCTTGACTTGAGTACCAAGTTTGATTGAACAACATTGTACAGCAAAACTTCGAAACAACATTTTCAGCACCAACATAGCAATTTATTATTAATTTAACGTAAATCTTTGATAATCTTCTGACATGATCCACACAAAAGTTCAATATATAAACACAAATTAATTTGTAATTACACATTGTTTCTCTTTACAGTCTTTGGTAAGACAACATGTAACAACAACGAAAGCGACATGTGTAGCAAGTGTTATTGTAATGCAAATGAAGAACGCATATGTTCAAAAAGCATCGTATGTATGTTAAATAATCATGCATTAAGTCGTGGAATTCGCGATGTTGAAAGCAAATCAGGCACAAATAGAATTCATAATGAGGCCACGAATGTTTTAGGATTTATGATCGAAGACTGTACTCCACTTGAAACGAAATTTAAGGTATTAAAATTTAAATGTTAAGCAGCATAAGTGCATATCCATGCATATGTGTGTATATCAAAAGTAATTTTGTATTTAACATTTTAGAGCTGCAATTTCTGTAAGTGTGCCAGAAATGGAAAAGGATGGTTTTGTACACAGAAGGAATGCATACCTAAACATTAGTGAAACATCTTGATAGTCAGCATAATGAATGCATGAAAATTTGAATTTGGGGTGTGCCAAGAGGCTTTATAAATATTTTTTAAGGAATAAAAAATTAAAATTTTGAAGATTTTTTTGAAGATTGAGCTGAGGGGGTAACAACATGATGGAAATTTTTTTGATTTATTTGCCAAACTTTAATGATAAGTTGTTGAAAATTATAAGTATTTGGTAGGAATGTAATATAAAATGTTTTCCCATCATGTAGTTTCCCCCTTGGATGGACTATGAGTATGGAGCATGGAGTGGCTTTCTAATCCTTGACTGATCATTTGATTCTGATCCTTATCATGATCCTGAACTGCTGATGGTATCTATTTATAGGTGAACATAGTATCACACCTAGTTTGGCTACCTTAAACCTAATCCTTCCTTAAAACCCATCCTCTGAGAATCCAAAATAACCCACTGACTCACATTTTAACCCTTCCCTTAAAACCCCAGTAAAATAGCACAACAGAATGCACCACAATAACTCGGTGAAAATGATTACATACATGTTGTATACTTAATAAGCATCTAATATGCTAAATAAGGATTTAATGCTTTTATGATAAACTACATTTATGAAAATATAATAAACACACATACACATAATAAATGATGATGCACAATAATAAATGTCCGAATAATGTAAACGACAATCATTTTTCATTTTGATCTATTCGAACTAGACTTGTCTCGTAGCTTTCTTGTTCACTCATGGACATGTAATGACTTCAACGTATTAATAAATTATGGGAAACAATTAAACTACATTTTATATGATTGGAATTAAAATTTATAGCCTATTATGAATTCTATGAATACAGTCAGGCTATTTATGAGCAATTAACCGTAAATGAGCTTTCATAATTGATTTAGACTGCTCAAAATTTCAGACGATTTGATTTATATTTAATAATTAATCAATAAATTGGTTCGACTTTATTGATCACGTCATTAAAAGCTTCTTGTTCTGTGAGAGAAAAAAAAAAGTTTTTGTCTACTGATGAAATATGAATGAGGTTATTTGGGGTGCAGCTGAGAAGATTAGTGATGATTCATTGATTTTGTAATTGAATTTTTTTTGGAAGGGTTTCTTGATATTCAGATGTGAGGTAGGTGTGTATCTTTAATGTGATCATTATAATAGGTGGAGTCTGAACTAGCAGGTTTGAACTTTTTTAACATTTGACTACAAATTGAGGAAAGTTTTCAAAAAGGAGGTTAGAACCCCCCTGAAGTGAACGTCCGCTCTCTCTACGTCATCTTAATATTAAGAGCGATTTTAGGTTACAATATTTTCCACAGCATTTATGTTCTTGAGGGGTCTTGAGCCATCAGAACCCTATTCAGACTTTTAGCCACTCTCTACATTTTGTTAAAGATATGTTTCAAGACTGATAACATCTTCTCAGCTGGCTATAGTTTTATAGCCCTATACATCGGATTTTCGGGCATGCTTCGAAGCTCTTGTAATGTGACTCTCCATTTACTACGCAACTTTAAGTAGAAAAGCATTTTTGGACCCGCCTAGCTTGGACTAAAAATGCCCAAACCCCACAAAAAACTCAATTTTCTAAAATCTCATCAGATTAAGTAATTTTCATTCTCCCCAGCAACAAAAAGTTTATGTTGACATAGTGGCGAAGTGTAGGCAACATCTTGTGGAACTTCTCCGTTTACATGCCTGCCTTATGACTCGTGGCAACATCAAGACAACACCACGTCAACATAAGTCACGAAACAGCCTTGTAGACCAAGAAAATCAACGAGTTCTCACTATCACGTTCCCATCATGTCAACTTAACCTTTTTGTCGCTCGGGTCTAATTAAAAAATCCAAAAATTCAAAACAAAACTTAAAGAATTTAAATTAAACTTAAATGAAATGAAATTCCTTAAATTTTCTATACAACTGCATTTACTGCAACTTTGTAAAGGAGAGAAAATAAAATCCATTGTTGCTGTTGCTGCATGAATTGGTCAAGATAATAATTCGTGATAAAACTTTTTCTCTCCCATTCTATTCCATTTTTACTGTGTTGCTGCTCGTGTTCTATTTATTTTTCCATTTTCACACTAAATGCAAATTGCTGTTATCGTAAGACTTGGAAGTTTTACTCTTATTTATTATATTTATTTTCATTTTTCAGTCGCTTGCTTACACTTTCATGTCTGAGAGATGCAACAACCCGTATGAATAAGTTTACAAATAAATATATATATTTTTTTTATTCTATATGATTTTCATTACAAGACGGTTCATTATCAGGAGAAAGTGTAGAAGAAGAACTGGAAAAGTTTTCTAAAGTTGGAAAGTTCCTTCCTTTGGGTTTTTCAGCTCTTCTACTTCAGTTTGTAAAATTATTCATTTCCTCCCGCATCGCTGCATCTTATATGAACAATTGTTAAGCACTTCATGTGGAAAAAAATTGAAAAATTCTTTGGAACTATTGCATATATGCAGCGTATTGCTTTCAAAATTAATCGTGTCTGTTGTCTACCTTCTAACCTACTTTTGAAAGTTTTTCAGCATTTAAAGTGGAATAGAAGTTAGTTTTTCAACTAATATTCATGATAGCTTGTCTAGATTGGATTTTCTGAGGCACCTGTGACATCTGTTGTTAAGGTTTGACTCTCAGACACGATAAAGCCTAGGGTTTGACTTTATATGACTTCACAAATCTTCACAACTCTTTGTAGATCTCTCTATAACTGCTGCATGTATATATATTAATGTAAAACAAGTCGGTTTCGATAGGAATCGAATCTTCGACCTCAAGGCGTTCTCTGATCACTTAAGATTCCTGCCACTAGGCCACCGAGGTGCTTATCTCACTTCGGCTATTCGTCAAGCACATGCAACCAATTTCACAGTGAGCCCTATGTCTACTCTTGATGTGCTCTTCGATCCATACATATCTACTTCCGCCTCAACTTGGAACCTTTCACATGGGTTCAGAGTTTTTGGGTATTTATAATATAGCAACGTCTTGTGAGATGTCTATGATCAAAAAACAACTCAGCAAAGCTTTAAAAACTGCTTTTACGTTGCTCCAGACCAACTCCTTATATCATAACAGTTAGTAAACATGACCTAGTTCTCCCAACATCCACACTCATTCCACAAAATATCATTTTCATTCCCAAAAGACCAATAACAAGCTAACATACCTAAACATTCCATCTTTCTCATTTAATTGTTGCAAGAAATTTTTCATTGCCGTTTCTTTCTGTAATTTCACATTTATTACACGATGGGAATTATAAAAGGTTATTGTCAAGGTTGAAATCATCATTGACAATATCAAACTCCCCTTTCAATTTGCGTAATGCTCAGATCCCACAGCAAATATTGATTGAAGTTGTGAGAAATGGATATAGCAGTAAAAAAAGGAAATTTTTTTGTCAATTCCAAAATGACAAGTTTACGTTTAAGGTAAATGTATTCATATAGCATAGGCCGAAAATTTATTTACTCTTCTTGATCAGCCATGAATAATTTCCCTTGGTGACTTGAAACTCTCTTCGTCTTCACCTGAAACACTTAATTTGGTTTTTTATATATATATTTTGCAAAAATGGCTTGGGACGTGATATTTTTCATCTTTTACCTACGGAAGTAATGAAATTTACATAGTCATGATAAGTTGAACTTATTTTATTTATTTGAAAATTTTGGAATTTGAAAAGAAATAAGAAATTTTTATTTAAAATGCTTTATTTTTGATTATATATTTTGGAATAAAGTTTAACATATTTAGGAGGTTCAGATATTATTAAGAGGGGGAGGGAAGGGGGGGATATTGAGGATCAATCAAATTCTGAACATTTGATAATAACATTTTTCATAAATTCATATTTATATTTGTTAAATTGTCAAAACAGAACCATGTTCAGCCAAAAGTCAATTCTTCTTCTTTTAAATGCTGAGCATGATACTGATTATTATCAAAGCTTGAACTTTTGTAAAATGAATTTTTTTTATAGGGAAATTGACTCCTATGCTTCACCGTTATTCCTATCTTCCAGTGACGTAGCAAGTGTTTTTGCAACACGAGACAGGATCAAAAGATTTGACGGAATCTCAAAAGATCACGTCGTCTGCTTTACTACGCAACTGTTATCCTTTTATTTAATTAATAAATTTTTATATTCTTAAAACTTTATAAAAATAAATTCTTGAGTTATTCCTTTTATGAAGATTAGGTTAAAAGTCACACATCAATTATTACCACCATTTTAAGTTTTTGATCTCTCCAAACATGATTTTGGTCATCATAACTGATGATTTTACATCATCAGAGATCGTTGAACTATTCCTTAATGCTTTGAGAGGCGGGTGGGGGGGTTTACAATTTTGCGAATGTTCAAAACATAAAAACTTGTGGCAACAATGAAAAGGCTGTTCTTGTGCCACGTAATCAATTAACGACCTTTTATCTCATTTGTTATTAATTTGTCTAATTTATATTTTTGAGAAAGTTTCTTAAAAATATTGATAAAATTGACTGTCATATCCGTGCTATAGACGATTGATACAGCAAAATTGGAGATAAGATAGCTTATAAGTATGCACTTCCGAATGCGTCAATGAAAAATTCTCAAGAAATTATGAAAATTTAAAATCAAGTTTTGTGCCATTTATGAAATATTGAAATTTGCAAGATTGTTGAAATTCAGGTTTTTTTAACGGAAAATATTTTTTTAAATTTTAAAAAATCTTGCAATAAGTCAACCTTATTAGTCACACAAAAAGTGCTAAAGAGCTGATTTTTCATTAAATAATTGTCACAAAATCAACTCTTTTCGAGCACAACTGCATCTACAAATGAAGCAGTAGATGCAACAACATCATAAGTTGTGAATAATTAATCTAATTTCATTTCAAAATAATTCATCCACCATCATAGTTCCTTTAATGAGGCACACATAAGCTTGTAAACAAAATTTTCTCATAAAAGGCACTTAAAATACAAAAACGTTTCCACAATTGATGCAAACGTTTATAATTTCTTTTCATTTAATATTATAATTATTCCATAACATGACATAAGTGCATGCATATTAAATCCACATAGAAAAAAGAAGCCATTGCTCTTATGGCTCAAAAGCACAATCATTCTCATAACTTTTTTTTTTCCTATTTAAATCTGCACTGTGTGAAGCTTCATTTAATTAGTTGAAATGATGAGACTGAATTGCTGCCTTTTATTTCAAGCATCGTGACGATGATGATGAAAATGCCATAAATAAAAAGAGAAAAGCTTCTAGAAAATTAGCGAATGCATGCAAAGTGCACTTATGTATGGGTAAAGTTATGAAAAGAGGAAAAAAAGTATTTTTATTTCTCCTTTTTCACGTCGTCGTCACTCATAAAAAGATAAAAAGCTACTAATTATAATTCAGTATGATAAGTTTCTTTTGGTGCGGGAAAGTTTGCTTTTTGGAGCAAGATTTTGTAAAGGTTGTGGATTTAAGGAGACACTTTGGACTGATGTCTGGTTTTAGAATGTTAAACAAATTTATGAACAGTCCCAAATACCAAATACTTGGACGGCTAGTGCCAATAGCACAACAAGAGATGTTGGCGACGATGCAGGAACACCAAGGAACATTCCACAATTGGGTACACAACAACATACCCAAGACAGCTTTCATACTGAAAGGACGCCTTGGTTACATGATAAATGGATCATTCAGTGTATACTCAGACATCTTGGTAAAGAAGCTCAGGTCAACAGTGAATAATAAGGTTGTAGCTAGCTACTCACTGACAGAAGCGTAATCAGAGAAAGTTTCAAAAATCTCTAGTTCCTTTCTGCTCATTAATCACTTCCTAACACACTCAAATTAAGTTGAGTTATGCTTTTTGCACTTATTTACACTGACCGATGGGTCCTCAAGGGGGTTTAAGAAATAAAAAAAAATCAAGGAGTATACACTTAAGATTTATAGATTCAATCCCAGAAAATCCCACAAAATCTCAGAATATTCCAAAAATCTCCCAAAGAAATCCCAACTTTTTTTCCGAGTGTATACGTTGAAAAAAATATTTAATCCTACATCCACCCTTAAAAAATGCACCTTAAAGCACCAAACAACCCTCCCAACACCTTCCTTACGTGACAATTAAGCCATTTCAGAAACAACAAGTTTGTTGATGCAGTTGAAATACTTTCGAACTTCATCGTCTCTACGTAGTTCCAAAAAGTCGGTCGATGAAAGATTTTGCGGATCAAGGTGCTTTCGTGAAGCTTGCTCAGAAAAATTCACCTTGATGAAGAACTTCTGTCCAACAAAAATTTTCAACGGTTGACGTGTGAACTTAATAAAGTTACATCTGTTGACTAAAATGACATGAACAAGTTTTTTTTGTGTTTACAAGATTTTCTGTAAAATGACAAAATAAATTGACTAACTTGATACTCTTTTGATAGACCGTGAATGGATATCCGAACGCTGTTCATTCTCAAATACAGCAATTGAGATGCGAATTTCGTTGGAATTTTGAATCATGTTCTCGTTGAACCAGACTTCCTGTAGCAAAAATGAACGTTTAGCCACAAAGTCAATTCTCGCGAATTCCGTAGTTCCAACACTTTCTATGCCTTTTATGACAATTTTGATTTTGCCACCTTCATCATCATCAACACAGACCAGTCCAGCATCATTTGTATCATCATCGTCACCTTTAAAGCTCATCAAATCATCCGATAAATTACTAATCGAATCAGCACGTCGCATAAATGATCCTGATGAGGGAAAAACGGTTAAATTTCTATGAAAGCCTTCAGCAAATGGCGGTGGTGGAATGTCAAGATCAATTAGATTCGGAATCTGTTGATTACCAGGTCCAGGCTTTTTATTTTGTTGCTGCTGCCTGTTTTTAGACTTTTGAGCTTCATTTTGTTTCGGATTTTTTGCTGGCTGTTGCTGTAAATTTCTCTGTTGTATGATTTGTTGTTGGACATGATGCATGTTTTGATTCTGTAGTTGCTGCATATTTTGAAGTTGAAATTGTAGGGAATTTTGATGTTGGAATTGTTGATGTGGGAAATTCATCATGTTCTGTTGTGGGAATGGAAGCAAAGGGGGTTGATTTCTTTGTTGTTGTGTATTATGTTGACCTCTTTGCTGTTGCTGTTGATGTTGATTTTTAGGCTTTCGCTGCTGCTGTGCATTTGGCTGTTGATTCTTTTGCACTTGTTGTGGTGGATTTCCTTTCTTTTTTGCACCTTTATTTTGTGGTCCTGCTGGAATATTTGAAGGTTTAACTTCCTCAATGGCTGGTCCAAGATTCCACTTTTCAACAACTTCATTCAACTTCTCAGTTGGATAATCGCACATTTCCAACATCGTCACTAAAGATGCCAAGCCAATATTAAAGAATCCTTTGGAACTGAAACATTTAGTTTCATTCTTCTTAATGTAGTCGAGACATTTCTTTTGGAACTGCTCATTTTCTAAATCAATGGCTTTTTCAAAGACCACAAAGACTCCATCTGGATTGATTTTATTAGTGATGAAGCCACAACATGTTGTATAGGCTTGGGATATCTTCAGCTTGTCAGCAGCAAGTAAAGTACTCAAAATATTGTCATCTGTTAATTTATGAAGGATTCCAGTGTAACAAAATGACAACATTGCAAGGAAAATGCTTTCCTCGATTCCCTCAACTCTCATTTCCTTTAATCCACTAACTTGAAAGTGCTGATAAAACAGTGGACTTGCTGTTACCAAGAACAACTTGTGTCCATGAAATACAATTGAATTGAGGATAAATTTAACATCCGACATATACTCATTATTAATCAACAGCTTCCTAACTTCGGAAAGTGATACATTCTTATTGAGTGCCTTGCTGATTGCCAATGCAGCATCATTTCCACTTAGCACGTCTTTCTTAACTTTTTGTGACTCCTGTTCAAAGTCAATAGTTGACTTACCAGAGTCATTTGTCCAAACAAAACGATTAGCTGTTGGATCATATATAGGTGATTGACCTGTACTCGCAACTATACTCTTGTTTATGTTTTGAAGCTTTTGATGATCCGAAGTTGTTTGCTGTTGATTCGCCGGTTTATTTATATTTGCGACGTTGCCAGATTCGCTTGCACTTGTTTGTTTATTTTTTAAATCGGAGTTTCTCTCAGTGGATATTTGAGAACCGGTCTTTGAAGCAATTGCAGTTGTTTGTTGGATGTTTTGCGAGGTTTTATTGAGCAAATTTACATTGTAGCTGGCTTGCAATGGATCGGTTTTGGTATACACTGGTGGTGGGAGCTGTGGTAGCTGAGGTTTGACTTGAGTTGATGGATGAGTAAGCTGATCTCGGTTTAGGGAATATTGCGAGCTTCTAGAGCTTCCTATAGAAGGTCCAAATTTTAGAGCATCTTGTGCAACTGCTGATTTTTGTTTAATTTTATAGAAAAATTTGATTTCAATTTTAATAAAATTTTAAATTTATTACTGGTTTTTCCACAAAAATCACAAAGTTGCACAAAACATCCGCAACAAATTTATTTGAAATAATTCAATTTACGTCACATTTGACCTCAACATTAGGCTTTTGTTCTGCCAAAATTATCAATCGCAATTTGAATCATCACAAAAATAATTCTATTAAGCACAAAAAATTGCAAATTTCATTTTCTTACCAACATTCGCATTATTTTTACTAGCTTTGCTGCTGTCAGACCCCATTGTACTATTCTCTTACACTTCCAGCGACAAAATAATTGTTAAACAACACAGAAATGCCGATAAAAAATTTAATATTTAATATGGCATGAAATCTCTCTTTGAGTGAGGCACACATATGTATTTAATGTGAAACGATGTTCTATGTGAGCTCGATCTTTGTGGGAATTTTGTCAGGAATGTCAATTTTTTATTTTTTTTATGTTTTTTTTAAATATCAAGGAAAAATTTAATTTTAAAATTAATAATAAAATTATAAAAAAATCAAAAAATCAAACTTTTAAAACAATTCAAAATTTAATAAAATTTTTTTTAAAAAGATCCACAATTTAAAATAATTAAAATTTCAAAAAAGTTCAAAAATTCAAAAAAAAATCAAAAAACTTTCAAAAATTTTGAAAATTCAAAAAAAAATCAAAAAACTTTAAAAAATTTTGAAAATTCAAAAAAAATCAAAAAACTTTAAAAAATTTTGAAAATTCAAAAAAAATCAAAAAACTTTCAAAAATTTTGAAAATTCAAAAAAATAATCAAAAAACTTTCAAAAATTTTGAAAATTCAAAAAATGTAAAAAATGTTTTTGAAAAAATAAAAACTTCAAAAAATTATAGATTCTTGTGATTTTTGATTTTTTGAAGATTTTTAATTTTTTTGAAAAGTTGAAATTTTTTAAAAAAAATCGAAAAAAAATTCAAAAATTTTGAAAATTCAAAACAAAAATTTGAAAAAAAAAATATAATATTTTTTGAAGATTCAAAACAAAAATTTACTGCACATTCTCATAAAAGGGACTGTGCTGTTCAATACATTTACTAATGCAATATTGCATACAAACATTTTAATCTTATCAGTAAACTTATCTTACAGCAATTCTTAGTAATTTCTATCCAATCGATTATTTCAATCTCAACCTTATCAGCTGATATGTAAAATCGAAGTACATTTCCGTAGCTACTTTATGCACAGTCGTCTTTGATGGATTGTTCCGTGCATATACAGCAATATTTACAAGTACTTTATTATTAATATATTTTGTGTGTTAGTATTTAAAATTCATGAGTCATTATTCTTCAAACCATTTGGAAATTAATAATATTGGTTCAGTTTGAATATTCAGAATGAAGAGAGTCGCTTTCGAAATTGCTTTGAACAAAAATATATCACCGAATGAAATTCGTGAATCATTGTTGGATAATGGTGAGGATGATAAGTTTACATGATCGTATGTTTTTCTTAGAGGACATGGGGATAGCTATTGAGGTTTAATAAGGATAGCTATTGAAGTTTAATAAAGTTTAAAAGTCCCTAATGATTTAATCCAGTGGTGCAAAACCTTTTCTGTGCAACGGAACACTTTGATGGTAAGCTATGCCCGAAAATCTCACGGCATAAGATTCGTGGAATTATCCGAATTTTTTCGCGGCACATAGGTTGACCATCACTGATTTAATCTACTAAGGGAAGGTGGAACGGGTTCCGGACTTTTTTCAGTTGGGTCAAGAAATTTTCAATCTCGAAGAGGATAAAGGCTCTACCTTGCTTATATCATAGCTTTTTCTCATGTAGAAGGTCTTAGCTAGCAATTTGTACTTGAAAAAACAAAAAACCATCCAAGCCTTCCCCACAATCATCTAAAAATACAAAATATAAATATTTATCAAATTTCATTACAATCTCATTCTCAGAATTTATGAGCGACGTAACATTCATTCTCGAAAATGGCAACGCTCTCTTCACAGCACATCGAATGTTCCTAATGACTGCATCGCCACTCTTCCAAAAAATACTAACCGAGAATAATCAAAAGCAGTTGAACATAAAAATCGATCAAATATCAAAATCAATTATGAAGGAAATTTGTCGTTATGCATACACTGAGGATGTTAAGTTTACAGACGAAAATAAGTTTGATGTTTTGTTTGCCGCGACGAAATTCGAGATGAAAAATTTAATTGAGAAAACAATTGAATTTATTTGTAAGCAGTTGAGTGAAAAAACAGTTTTTAAGACACTTGAGTTGAACAAGAAGTTCCATAACTTGAAAATCAATTTAAAATGTTTTGAATTTATTGAAAAAAATCATCAAAAATGTTTTGGAAATCTTGAATTTTTGAAGATTTCGGAAGATTTGCTTAGAATTATGATGGAAACTTGCAAAATTCCTGGAGAGTCTGCAGCAAATGGTATAAAAATGTGGACCAAAGCAAACAATTCTGACGATTTAGAGGAACTTATAGGATTGATTAATTTGAAAGAGTCTAGCGATGCATCGGATACTGAGTCTGTCGCTAGTTCAAGAATTAGTGAATCATCAAGAAGTGCAAGAGGGAGAAGACCACGTCGAACTGGGAGAAATACTAGGAAATCAAATCAAATTTCATCGTACAGTGCCTCAAAATTTCATGTGCCTGGAACCAATGTAAACATGCAGCAAGCAGGTATGAAGTGTTTCAAATTAATTGGAAACATGTCTCGAAAGAATTTTAAATATGCGAATTTGGATATTTCTGCAAAAGTTGACAATGTGTTCCTTCATGCATTAGTATTTGTTTACGATTTGAGAACAACTGATAAAGAATTTAAAATTTCCGTGTATCAGGTTGACAACAATATACGCAAAACTCTCTATGCTGATCAATTCATTATGGATACAAGCACTGGTCCATTAATTGGATATAAGTTTGGCAGTGAAGTTGAAATAAAAGCATTTCAGAAAATTTGGATTAAAATTGAATTTTCTAAACAAGAATACAGATTGACATTTGATCAGTATGGTGAAATGCAACAGCATATTGGAAGTGATATCATGTTGAGACGAGATTCTGAATGTAATTCTTATTCTCAAATCATTTCTGCCATTTATTACAATATTCGATGAGGGGTCGGTCACTTTTGACGTCTGTCAAAAAGTATGATTTTTAGACCCCTCCCCTCCTCCCTCCATCGCTGTCACAAAAGCCTGTCTCTGTCTTTGTTTCAGTTTTCACAAAATCACAAACCCCCCCCTCTAAATCATAGACGTCATAAAGGGCTGTCACATATGACGTCCAGAGGGGGGGAGGGGGTGTCAGCAAGAAAGAAACAATAAAAATTCTTGGAAATCCATTGTTATTTTTTGAAAATTGACCGTTAATTTCAAACGTCATAATTGAACGACCCCTAAAAATCAAATGTTTTTATTCAGTTTGTTTAAAAATTTTAAAAAAAAATTGAACTTCAAAAAAAAAATTCAAGTACTTATTACGTAAAGCAAAAAAAACGACTCTTTAGACCTCCTCCTTCCCCCTCTTTGTATCAAAATTAGTGTGAAAAAAATTCTTTGACAATCGTAACAAGATCTTAGACCTCCTCCCCCCCCCCCCCCCAAAAACTTTACAAAATAAGTGAACGGCCCCTAAAAAAGTTAAATTTTTCAAAATTTTAAAAACAATAGAATTTCTTTTTATAATTAAAAAATTCCCCACACGCCATAGCTTGATGCACTTTTCTTACACAACACGAAAGTTTCATCATTGTTCTATTTTAAAATTCTTAACTATCACATAAAAAACTTTTAAATTTCATAATTATAGCTTTTTTGTACACGACATGAATAGAAGAAATTTCTTCGCTCAATAAAGATCGATATTATTAAAAAGTTTTCATCGTAAGTTTTTATAAAAGTGCATTTTATTTCTTAAATGACTGTTAGTGTTGCAAATTTGTATTTATATAACTTTGTCTTGTGTTTTTTGTGGTGCAAAAATGATTCTTGTCATTTTTCAAAATTTTGGAGAGACAATAAAATGTTCAATTTTAAAACCTTTTCAACTGTGTCCTTACATATTTACTGATACTTTGTTCCTAGGTGGAGCTTAGGTGGAGCTTAGGCTACAAAAGAGGCTTCCCATATGACTCTGTAGCTTGCTTTGTCACCAGGTTTGTACAATTTGTCTTTGTGAACATTAAGCAGACATTCCTTCATCACTGTTCTGCGCTAAGTAGCTTTTGGAGCTTCTGTTGTATATTAAATTGTGTTTTTTGCAATAACTAATAAGAATGTTAAAGGAAACAAAATTCTTAAGACAGCTCAAGCATGGATTTTTCGAGGGATCCAAATTTTTTTTTTGTTGTCAAAAATCAACAAAATCTACTCTATTTGATTATTGAAATCTAATTTCACTGTTTTCCCCTAAAACTAATTAATGGTTGAAATTTTAATCTCAAGGAGGTTGCCCCTGAGATGACCATCTGACCTGCCCCCCTTGCCTATGCCCTTCAAACTTTTATAGTTAAAATTAAGTCTTAAGCAGTAATTTTTCAAACGCTGTGAAGGTTCACCAAAGTATATCTTATCATCCTAATACATCAAGTCAAAATATGTGGCATACATTTAGGATTATATCTGTCTTATCTACTCTTACTCATATTTATCCTTTATTCTTCTGCATATTTGCGTGTTATGCTGAAAATATATTTCAGTGATTCAGATGAAGAAGCATGAAATGCAATCTTTGTATCCCCAAGACATGAGAATAAAGGATGATTTATACATTTTAGATTCCCAAACGCTCTTAGATTTTATGCACTACATGTTCATCTCTTTTTCGAATGTTACTAAAAGCATATTCATATTCAGTAAGACATATTTTATTTATGCAGTTTGAGTTGTGAATTGTTGAAGGATTTTGAGTGATTGAAGTTAGGGGTCGTTCACTTATGACGTCCAACATTTAGGTGGGAAGGGGGTCAAAAAAATTGTGACCCATTGTGACAGGGGAGAGAGGGGGTCAGGAAATTTGTGACATCCAATTTTTTTAACAGGAAATTATAATTTTTTTGTATCTGGGATCCTATCATCGATTAGGATCACAGTGCTTTCAGCTCATCGCAACGTGTAGTAACACACCGCCAGGCTGGAACCCTCACATTATTATGTATCTTGGATTGGATGTCACAAGCGGGGGTTGATATCTGTGACAGTTTTGTGACAGAGGGAGAAGGGGGTCTAAAAATTAGATTTTTTGATGGAAGTCATAAGTGCCCCTTAGGAATGCATTATAAATAAGCGTCATTTACTCATTTATGTAGCAAACTTAGATGCTCAATCATACTAAGCTTAGCTCTGTCTCGGATGTGCAAATTTTAGTTTCTCTTAATTCACTTCCACTGAAATCTGAACTTCATTAAAAAATCTCTTAAATTCCAGCAAACAAATCAACTTAGTTCTTCTATCAAAAATGCATCAAAACAACTAGACCAAATAAAATTCCCACCACAAAAATTCTCCACATTTACCCAAAAGCAAAAGCTTTGCTTTAATCAAATCATTTCAGCTGGAAGCACATGAATTCAACTCATCAACACATCTCAATTTTTCCCATTTTCCTAGAAATTTAGGAGCTGTAAATTTACATGAAGCATTGTGTATGTGTAATAAAACCATTGTCGAGACACATTAATCCCTATTACACCCGAAAAATTACAAGCAACAGCACATACATATTATTTGTGTGTAAAATGTGTGTGCATGGATGTTACAGCAAGAAAAAAAAGGTGTTAGACTGTAAATATATTTACACACAGATGTCTAGGAATTTTTTTTCCCTCTGTAAACTCTTCAAATGGATTAATGTTGAGGTAGGTTGGGATTAACGCATTTCGACTTTAGGATGGCAAGAAGAGAGTTTGTATATGCGTGTTGATATTTTTAATATTATTATGTTCAACATTTTATATATTTATATTAGCACAATACATCTCTATTATGTGCTGTGTACCGAGGGATGAGAATTAAGGATTTAAAAAATTGAAGAGCATAATAAAATATAAAACTGTATAGAATGTCTAATAGTCTGCTAGCTGCTACACTACAAACTGTTGAATGACATAAAATACTTAAATTATTTGGTTTTACATCCTCAGTGAAATCTTAAATAAAGTCAGTCAGGAAGGTCGGAGAAGATCATAATCACACGAGCACATGCAAGTAGTCAGCGAGAGATTTGTCCCCTCTTCAAATTCCTGGCTATGCCTCTGCACCAGTAACAATCAACCCTTTCTCGAATTCAACTTTGAGTCTTAAACTAGGCTTTAGGCACTATAATTAAGCCAGGCCTTATTTTTCTTATCGTATGACAAACCTTAACTTTCGAAGGGGTCGTTCACTTTTGACTTCCATCAAAAAACCTGATTTTTAGACCCCCTCCCCCCCTCTGTCACAAAAATTCTATGGAAAAAAAAGTTTCCATTGTTTGAACTGTCACAAAATCCAAGACCCCCCTCCCCCCCTAAATGTCGGACGTCATAAAGGAACGGCCTCTAACGTAGATTAGTGTTTGCTGATTGATTGGTTTCGCACACTTGTTCAATTTTATATTAGTAATCTCTCTATTTTCCTATAAGTTACTATGCAGCTCTACAAAATATTCGACCTCAAGTCAAAATAAACCTTCAAAACCCTCAAAACACATCATCTAAATAATCCAGAAACCAATTCTATTTATCTGTCTGCACAATTCATAAAAATCATTACAAACATTCAAAATTTTCCCATCCTTGACCTCCAATTTCATCTACACAACATTTTATATATGTTACTGCATGCCATACAAAACAAAAGGAGATAATAGAAACAAAAAGGGTAACAAGAATCATTTTTGTCCATGTAAAATGGTTATTATGGACGTCAACAGAGAATGCCTACATCCATTTTAGTTGTCGGCTCAAGAAAAGGGAAAGACGAGGATAAAAAGAAGTGTCTTAAATTGCGTTGTCTATTTTACTAATAGTTTCACCCTTTTGTATGCTGTATGTATACAAAAATTTAGTTCCATCATGACTTTATAACGACTTTCTTGTGTAATCTTTAAAGATTAAGTTGCAGCATAATAAGTAAGAATGAAGACAACTGTGAATCAAATAAGGGACCGTTCACATGTGACGTCTAGGGGAGGGAGGGGGGGGGAGGGGTTCAGCAAGAAATGAACAATAGAAATTCTTTTGTGTTCTTTTTTAGAAAAATGCCGTTAATTTTGACGTCATAAGTGAACGACCCCTAAGAACTCGAAAGATTTAAATCTCAAAAATCACATTAAAAAATTAGATTTTCTCTTCAGATTTTTATTTTAATCTCCACGTGTCAAATACTTATTAAAGAAGAAAATTTTGACATTTCAAATAAAACGCGAAGAAATATAAAAAGCGGAAAGAACTTTTTCTTCAATAAATTTTGATAAAAATCGAAATACTTTTTTTTTGGGGGGTCTTATTAAACTGATTCGAAGATCAATAACGGAAAGAGAGGGGAAAAAAGCGAAGAATGATCAATACGAAGACATAATGGCTATGGAAAACTTTTTTCCTTCTAGCCTTATTTTTTATGCTCAAGTTTTGGGAAGGAAGTGTGTTCTTGGATAATATCTGGGTCACTACCGTCGACTGAGGTCTTTTCTGACCTCATTAGCTTTCTTATTTCAGCTAAAGCATATTAATTGATCTTAGTAATTGACTATATCTCGTCAATAGTTTTTAACTGCACTTATCACTTGACTTTCCTTTCCTAGCAGCTCTTAACACTCGACCAACACACCTTAACAGGTCTTAGTATCTCCGTTTCATGCATACCCTCTTTTTAAAGTCTTATTAGCAACTTAATTTGATTTAATTCCATTTTGACACGAAAAACAATAAACGTCCAAAAATGCGCTCCATCCAAATCCTCACCCAAACCATTTCTTACTAGCCCTTTATTTGAATTCCATTCTTGAATGGTGCATGATTTATAGGCGGCGATGTAAATAGGAAAGATAACGAAAAGAGATAAAAATGGAATGTAATTCTTATATCTGTACATTTTTATTGTTCAAGAAATAAAACCTTTTCCCATTAAACATAAACAAGTGCAAGGAGTTGAGCCTCGAGGACATCCTACACCTCTTAAATCAAAATGAGTCTTTTTTTCACAAAAAGCTCATTCTGTATTATTTCAACCATAGCTGTACAGGCTAGTGAATGAGAAAATTGTCATTAAATTAAATTCTTCTTGTTTCACAAGTGGTTGAATATTCACTCATGAAAGCATCCACTTTAATACTCGGAAGTTCTTCTTTTTTTCATTCTATGGGAAAAACGCTCACAAATCCCTTAAAAAAGTTTTACAAGCATTTTATGGAAAAAAAATTACAGAAGTCCTCGTGTTATTGATCGAGGGACTTAAGCGCATTTTTGTGTTAGCGATCAGTATTTGATTATGTAATTATTTTGCGTTCATTTACAGATCATGAGAAGATTAGAAGATCATTAATTTTAGTGTAATTAACAAAAAGTTACAATGAATGCTTATATAGAAAGGATTATTATTTAACGGTCAATAAATAATTTGAAATTTTGCCGTTAAAAGTTGCACTACGAAAAAATTAATTATAGTATAATTAAATAATTTGTTGCAATGAATTTCCATACAGAAAGGATTTATCATTTAACGGTTTTTTTTAATTCAAATTTTCTAACGGTCAGTAAATAATTTGAAATTTTCCCGCTATAAGTTGCACTACGAAAAAATTAATTATAGTATAATTAAATAATTTGTTGCAATGAATTTCCATACCGAAAGGATTTATCATTTAACGATTTTTTGTAATTCAAATTTTCTAACGGTCAGTAAATAATTTGAAATTTTGCCGTTAAAAGTTGCACTACGAAAAAATTAATTATAGTATAATTAAACAATTTGTTGCAATGAATTTCCATACAGAAAGGGTTTATCATTTAACGGTTTTTTGTAATTCAAATTTTCTAACGGTCATTAAATAATTTGAAATTTTCCCGCTATAAGTTGCACTACGAAAAAATTAATTATAGTATAATTAAATAATTTGTTGCAATGAATTTCCATACAGAAAGGATTTATCATTTAACGATTTTTTGTAATTCAAATTTTCTAACGGTCAGTAAATAATTTGAAATTTTGCCGTTAAAAGTTGCACTACGAAAAAATTAATTATAGTATAATTAAACAATTTGTTGCAATGAATTTCCATACAGAAAGAGTTTATCATTTAACGGTTTCTTGTAATTCAAATTTTCTAACGGTCAATATAATAATAATTTGAAATTTTCCCGCTATAAGTTGCACTACGAAAAAATTAATTATAGTATAATTAAATAATTTGTTGCAATGAATTTTCATACAGAAAGGGTTTATCATTTAACATTTTTTTGTAATTCAAATTTTCTAACGGTCAATAAATAGTTTGAAATTTTCCCGCTATAAGTTGCACTACGAAAAAATTAATTATAGTATAATTAAAT